CCCCCGGGCAAAAGCCTGTATAGTCAGTCAAACACTCAGTATGTGCACAAATCACATTATAAGGGTATCAGGTCCCCCTATGTTAGGCGGCCCGTCCCATTCAGTGTGTCAAGCCCTAGCCACACGGGCCATGGCCTGGCAAGCTATCCCCGGTGTGTCGAGTTGGGTCATAAACACTATAAAGCGAGGCTACTCGCTCCAATTCGCTCGCAGACCCCCCAAATTCCAGGCGGTTATCGAGACGTCGGTGAGAAGCAGCGTGGGTCACGTGCTTCGCACCGAAGTTCAGAATTTATTAGCAAAAGGAGCGATAGAATCAGTCCCTCCCACGCTAATGTTTTCGGGGTTCTACAGCCGCTATTTTCTAGTCCCAAAGAAAGACGGCGGACTCAGACCCATACTAGATCTGAGACATTTGAACAAGGCTCTCATGAGACGGCCTTTCAAAATGTTAACACTCAAACAAATTCTCGTGCAAGTTCGCCCGGGCGATTGGTTTGTTACAATGGATCTGAATCTGAAAGATTTTCATATTCAGATCGACCCTCGTTACAGGCCATTCTTGAGATTCGCCTTCGAGGGGAGGGCATATCAATACACCGTCCTGCCGTTCGGTCTGTCCCTGGCACCCCGCACATTCACGAAATGTATGGATGCAGCGCTCTCCCCACTGAAAAGTCAGGGAGTGCGTGTGCTGAATTATCTCGACGACTGGCTGGTTCTGGCGCAGTTGAGAGACGAACTGGTAGTTCACAGGGATTTGATTCTCGGCCATCTAAAATGCCTGGGGCTCATAATCAATGTTACCAAGAGCAAACTGACCGACCCCCAGCCAGACTGTAGTCTTTCTGGGCATGGTTTTAGACTCGGTGACAATGAAAGCGCGGCTCACTCAAGAGCGCGCGCTCTCTGTACAGACACTGGCAGCTGCGCCTCTGAAGAGATTTCAGAAACTACTTGGTCTAATGGCAGCTGCATCATCAGTACTCCGCTTGGGATTACTGCGCATGCGCCCGCTGCAGCACTGGCTGAAACGCCGTGTGCCAACCCATGCATGGCAGTCAGCCAGCCTGCGCATTATGGTGAATCACGGGTGTTTAAGAACACTGATTCCCTGGCGGGCTCAGGACTGGTACCACAATGGGGTGACCATGGGGGTAGTATCCAGAAGGAAGGTGGTTTTTACAGACGCGTCCAACCTGGGTTGGGGAGCGCTGCATGAGGGCAAGCCTGCCTCCGGCCTCTGGTCGAGCACGGAGCAGAGCTTACATATCAACTGTCTGGAAATGAAAGCAGTTGGTTTGGCCCTGGAAGCTTTTCTGTCAAACCTCAGGGGTCACCACGTCCTGGTCCGTACAGACAACATGTCTGTGGTGGCCTACATAAATCGCCAGGGCGGCATCAGGTCAGGCAACCTGTATGCTATGGCGAGGGACCTCCTCATGTGGGCACAGGCCAATCTGAGCTCTCTGAGAGCAGCGCATATCCTGGGCGTCCAGAATGTGGGCGCGGATATACTCTCACGGGGCAACACTCCCCTAGGCGAGTGGTCCCTGAACCCTCAGACGGTCAGTCTAATATGGGAGATGTTCGGCGAGGCCGAAGTCGACCTTTTCGCCTCGAGAGCCAACACCCACTGCAGGGTGTTCTTCTCGAAAAACAGGGACGCGCTGGCTCATCTCTGGCCCAGCCGCCCCTTTATGCTTTTCCCCCCGTCTCGATGATCCCACAAGTTATCGAGCGGGTCAGGGAGAGCGGATGCCCAGTCCTTCTGGTGGCTCCTCTCTGGAAATCCAGACCATGGTTTCCGGAACTGGTTCAGTTGTCAGACACGATCCCCTGGCCTGTCCCGATGAGGAAGGATCTCCTCACACAGGCCAACGGAACGATGTGGCATCCCCGACCCGATTTATGGGCCCTCCATGTGTGGCCCCTAAACGGGTACCCGGGGACCTTCCTGACAGGGTCTTAAGCACTATCTCTGAAGCAAGGGCCCCGTCTACTCGGCGCCTTTATGCTTTAAAGTGGTCGGGTTTTTCCAGCTGGTGCTCGAGAAATCGTATTGACCCAGAGTCATGTGAGGTTTCTGTGGTGCTCTCCTTCCTGCAGGAGCTACTGGATGCGGGCCGCACCCCGTCCACGCTCAAAGTGTACGTGGCAGCCATCGCAGCGCATCATGCTTTGGTGGCTGGCCAATCACTAGGAAGGAATGAGGTGGTAAAGTTTCTGAAAGGTGCTAGGAGGATTAACCCCTCCAGGCCCCCTTCGGTGCTGCCTTGGGACCTCTCCACGGTCCTTAGGGCCCTGAAGGGACCACCTTTTGAGCCGCTCCAGTCGGTTGATCTAAAACCACTTTCGCTAAAGACTGCTCTTCTGTTGGCATTGGCATCTATCAAGCGAGTGGGAGATCTGCAGGCCCTCTCTGTGAGTCCTGCATGTTTGGAGTTTGGAACGGATGACTTCAGAGTCATTCTCAAACCCAGGCATGGTTACGTACCCAAGGTGCTCTCAACGCCGTTTAGAGCACAAGTTATTACGCTGTTAGCCCTTCCCCCTTCTGCCAAGGATGGGGATGTTAATCTTCTCTGCCCTGTCAGGGCGTTGAGAATCTATCTGGAGCGTTCTGCGTCTTTTAGACAGTCAGAACAGCTGTTTGTCTGCTTTGGTGGCCGATCTAAGGGTGATCCAGTCACTAAGCAAAGACTGTCTAGATGGATAGTGGATGCCATTTCTTTGGCCTACACCTCAGTGGGTCAGGTTTGCCCCATAGGTGTCAAGGCCCATTCAACCAGAGGCATGGCCTCGTCGTGGGCTTGGTCATCTGGTTTTCCCATTCAAGATATTTGTGATGCGGCCGGCTGGTCCTCGCCTTCCACATTTATGAAGTTCTATAATACGGAGGTACCTTCCCTGCAGGCGAAGGTGCTTTCGGTATGATTGAGACCTTACGGTGTCTGGTCTTGTCTACAAAAATTACTGTGCATAATCACATACATATTTATATAAACCCGCTTCGGCCGGTAATAAAGTTATACTAATAATCCCGACGGTGTCTGGTTTTGTTAGTATATTCTGTTAGTTGTTACTGACTTTATATATATTATTCAGACCCGACAGTGTCTGGTCTGTTATATATATACGTATATGCATATATTATTGGGTTCTGGCTTGTTCTGTTAACTGCAGTGCAACCAGTTACTTAGGGTGCGGCGTTTTGCATGGCGTCCCCACTGCGTATAGCTACGCAATACGAAGTGACCGTTCGAAAGGGAACTACTCGGTTACTATCGTAACCTCAGTTCCCTGAGAGAGGGAACGAGTATTGCGTAGCCGGCCGCACTATAGTAACTGGTGAAGTTGTCGCTTCAGTCGTATAAACCTGCTATAATGGCGAATTCGGGGGTCTATATAGGCTGGGCCACGCCCCCTTGGCGGGCTCTGACGTTGGGCTAGCTCATTGGTCGCGCGTCAGAGTCGCCCGCGCCATTGGATGTGCAGTTGCTGCAGCACAGCCTATGAGCGTGTCAGACGCTCAGTGTGCTAGCTGTGCAGCTGCAAATGCGTTTTACATATATAGGCTTCAGTAAATCGAGGAAAAGGAGTTTCCCCACTGCGTATAGCTACGCAATACTCGGTCCCTCTCCCAGGGAACTGAGGTTACGATAGTAACCGAGTAGTTTCCAAACTTCTGACGGTGGTTTCGTCTCGATCGGTCTAACGGTTTTGAAGATATTGGTTTGGTATGAACACGATAAAGCATTGCGGAGATACAGCCTTACGTCTGTTTTCGCGAGCGCTACGTAAAATTAGTTTGCGTGGTATTCGAGAACGGTTTGACGAATCGACATGAATTCCATAACTTTTGGTCTGCATGCTCTGGAGATGATCTGGTTCAATCTTCGTGAAAATCGGAGCCTCGGCCTAGGAGGAGTTCGAAAAAGTAGTTTTTTTTGGAGAATTCAAAATGGCGGACAAATTTTCATGAAGGAAAAGGACGTAATAGGAATTAGTGGAAAAAAGAATTTTGTTAGCCCTTATGGTTCCCAAGTTGAGTGAAACTTTGGACAGTTGGTGGCGCTAGTGGGATTGAGTTAGAGACTCCAAATTTGCTATGTAGACAGTTCAGACTGTCCTCTATCTGTGTGCCAAATTTCATAACTTTCCCGCAAGCGATTCTATGGGCTGCCAATGCCATAGACTCCAAGAACGGAAGAAGAAGAAGCAGAATAATAAGAACGCCAAAGATTACAATAGGTGGATCCGCACCTTCGGTGCTTGACCCCTAATAAATCAACTCTGGGAAACATTTATCTTGTTACAAGATTCTTACAAAGATCGTGAAGGAATAAAATATACTGGAGAAATTCTTAAGATAGTTTGAAGTGTTTGACATGTCTTTTGTCTCTATAAAGAATTATTGCACAGGTGTTCAAACAGCTGTATCTTTGTGCATTAGAGGACAACATTAGTCATGTAAAAATTTAAGAGAACAAAACCTGTTACTTCAAAGTATCTGCATGATCCTTTGATCACTGTAGTTCTCAGCACTGATTTCTGAGTGGCATAGGCTTGGATTCACATACAGGGCTTAGATTAAGCTAGGATTAGGTCTTAGTTCAATTAGGACATTTAAGTAGCTTTTATAAATGTGCCTTAGAAAAAATATTACTGGTGTGCATCTTGAGACAGAATAATGTCACTGACATAACTTAAGATATGCCATTCAAGTTTCTTTCAGCTAAATCAGTGCAAAAATGCATTTTAATAGTCTGTGAAACTGGGGGGTAAAGTCGTTAGCTTTGTTCTTCATGTAGTCTTTAAATTAAACATAAAATGTTTTCTTTTTTCACCTTTATGTCTTTAGATGCCTGTATTCGCCCACTCTAAAATCCATGCATTGTTTCGACACAATTTCATTATGCTCTTCAAAGTACCTAAAGCTAGAACAATACATTTTTAAACCAGTTTTAAGAGGTACAGAACTGAGGAAAGACACATGATTCATAAAACATTAATTCTTTACTAGTTACTCTCAAAAACATAATCAGTCCTTGAAAAATACTGTTAATATATTTGAATCTAGTCACTGCACTTAAGTTTCAGGGCCATGGTAAGGTTGAATGGTAGTGTTGACACTGTGGTTCTATGGCAAAGACAACATGTAAACAGAGAACATCAAGCACAAACAAACAATCTTGAAAAATACTGGTGTGATAATATGGATATGACAATACAATTGTTTATAGTAAACAAAAAGCACATCCATTACTAAAACTATGCAAAGCCAGCGAACTACACAAGACAGAGAAACTAACTAGTAAATATGCAGGTGAAGGTTCGGTCTATCCAAAGCTTGTCCAGTGTATGGGAAGATTCACCTTCATTTGAATCCCGAATTAACAGGCAGACCTCGTTTGTAAACTGCAACAAAAATCACTAACACTTTACAATAAGGTTTCATTGGTTAACTACTTTAGTTAACATGAATGAACAATACTTCTACAGCATTTACTCATCTTAGTTCATTTCATCATTTACTAATACAATCCTAAAATCAAAAGTTGTATTTGTTAACATTAGTTAATGCACTGTGAACTAACATGAACAATGAACGACAGTATTTTTTTTATTAACTAACATTAACAAAGATTAATAAATACTGTAACAAATGTATTGCTCATTGTTAGTTAATACATTAACTAATATTAACAAATGGGACCTTGTTGTAAAGTGTTACCCAAAAATCAAAATGTCACACAGACCCTGCTATTATTTAGTCTCAGGAACATATATGGAGTCTTTTTATTTCTGCGTTTTAATTAAACAGTGCAAAATACAAAGACTGATGTTCCCGCCACTGAAAATGAGCTAAATTGGCTGATTTTATAACAAAACAACCACATAGCTGAACATTTCAAAGACTTTCATTGAAATGATGTGTAAAATAGGGGTTGGCTTTAAAAAAACAGTCAAATGTTAACACCTTCATGTTTTTAGGAATAGCTTAATGTTTTAGTAAAAAGTAGTTAAAAAAATAAATACAGTAACTTATAAGGGCTCGAAAAAAAGAGACCTGCTGGGAGATTTCACAGAACAGCAACCAATTCAAACATCAAAACCCATAAAACTCCCAAGAAACCAAATCTCCAGCACCATATATCTAAGTGGACACACATTTGGACCAACAAAAAATAAATCATTTGTTTCCAGTCACAGATAACCAGACACAAATATCAAAAACAAGAGGGGTTGACTCTGAATGGTCCATCAACAAGATGCCTTTCATCAATGAAAGCGATATTTGCGTGCTGGTTTGAGACTAACATAAGTCTTCTTCATGTCTTCTGGTTCTTCTTTCTTGACAAGATGGTAGCGCTCTCCCTTTGTAGTGACCACCTGACTGCCATGATAGCGCACCAGTTTCTTAGGAGCCTGCAGATGACCAAGTGGAAAGTAGAAAAAATTAACTCAAAATGAAAATGAATTCATCAATGTTTTGCAATGCAGTCACTAAACAAACAACACAAAACTCACATCTTTTGGAGTGACTGGTCTGTGTACTTTCTTGTCTTCTTCACTATCAACCAGCATGTACCTGGGATGGGGGGTCCAAACATTTAAATGAGACGTTTTGTTTTCTACTTGCAGTGACATCCGATATAACAGGTTTGTGCAATAGTTTGAAAGAATTTGAGATCAAGATAACTCACTTTTCTAAAATGCTTGCTTTCAGTTTCTGATCAACTTCAGCAGAAATGGTCTTCCCTTGGTTAGCCTGAAAATATAACATTTTAAAGGCATCAGTGTTATTTTAGTATTGTTTATATACTATTATAGTATTTTATCAGACTGATCTTATGAAATGGCGTATGTATGACACGCCAATTCGTATTTCCATTTTTGGCGTGCTATCAACACGCATAATCGATTTTCAGCGTGTTTATCAACGCCGTTGACTTAACGTTACATTACTGTATATATAAATATATGACCTACCCCAACCCCGTCCCTAAAACTACCCGTCACTGGGGTTAATACCATTTATGAGTCTTCCCCTACCATCCTAGGAAAAAAAATATTGCTCCCCAGATGTAGATTACATTTTGCTTCGTTTCGCTCGGACATTTAACGGCGTGTACATACACACGGAATCACACGGACATTTAACGGTGTAGACATACACGCAAAAGATGACGGTTCGTTTCGGCGTGCACATACACGCGGATAGCTCAAAATTCGTATAGATAACACGCCACTTGACTTGAAAGTGGCGTGTATGTTTACGCAAAGTCATGATGTCATGTTGCATTTTATACACATTTTTTCCATTTCAAATTTCCAAACCTGTCTGTAGATTTTTCAGACCATATTTAATAAACCATACAGCATTATATTTGGTATGTAGTACAGTCATCTGTAAATATTTCATTTTCTCTTTTTTTAATTGGTTTTCTTGAAGTGATAACATGATGGGAAGAACCTAAAACGCTTTATAACCTGCATATATTCACCTCTGACACATCGGTTTGATACTGTAAATATGGTTTGATGTTGCATGATCAACAAAAAAGCAAAGTACAGACTGATTTAGATTATCGTTTGTTCTTTTATCTGTTGCTGGTTTGAGTGGCACACACACATTTGTTTAGTGAAGTTCAAAAGAGACTTGCTTATGGTAAAGAACAACCAAGTAGAAGTCTTGCGAAATGAAAATGTGCACCTTGAATTCATTCAGTCGTGTTTGACAATCACTAAACTTCTGCCATGAAAACACTCTGCTTGTATGATACTTTTTTGTTATTTTTTGTTATTTTTTTAGAAATTCTTAATTTTTATAGTTTAGAAAACTGAATAGGGGCATTATGTATTATTTCTTATTTCAGTTTTAGTCATTTTGGTACTTTATTTTTGTTGAAGTTTTTCATCTAATAGTTACATTTTATTTCAGCCTTATTTCAATGAATGAAAATTATTTTTAATAGCCTAAGTTTTAGTTAACAATAACAACACAGAAAGGATTTACACAAACAACAACAAAAAAATCACTAACATCTTTAAATTATAAAAACATCCATCTTGAATCAAATTAAAGTGATAACTGGCAAATAGTCTATCATTTTATCTATGATCAGTGTAAATGGAACTTTTCAAATGAACTCACGTGGAGAGACGTTGGGCATGCAAGCTGGACATCTCCCTCAATAATGAGACGAACAGCCTCCTCTATGTCTCCTTTAGCAATAGACAATGCACTTCTGGCCTCAGTCACACTGCATTTGGGAAACATCTCGAGAAGATGCTGCTCCTGGTTATCCCACGTAGATTCACTAACCTGAAAACACATTTCCAGACACATAATCATTTGTAAACCAGCTTGCCAGCATCTGGTACATTATGAATGTGCCTGAAAGGCCCAATACCTGAGCTGTTGCTCCCTCTGCTTGTAACGTGAGGTTGTGTGTCTTCTCTCTTGAAACTCCGTGGGTTAAAACAGAACTTTCTGAGAGAGGAAATTTACCTTCCTCTAATTTTATCTCTCCAGATTCTTAAAGACACACACAAATCACAGTTTAGTGTGGGGGATATTTTCTTGCCTATATTCAGCTGCAGCGCCACACGTTTCAGGACACACAAGCCAGGCCACACGTCTCAGGCTGGAAGTGAAGGGGTGGAGTTATTAAAACATAACATGATGGCAGAGAGCAAGGTGAGTTGTCTGTAATGTTTCTGTCATTATGTGGTTAACAATTTATTTATATATTAAGTTAAGTGTTTATCTTCTAAATACCCATTATGTGCATGTATTTAACATTTTATTACTCGCGTGCTGTGGAAAGCTTAAAATTGTTTTCATCCTTTATTGTTTTCAGCGTTTGTCCGACAGTTTGATTACTTTTTAGATTGGTGTAGTAAATGGGCTTTGCGATGAATATTTGACATTAAATATCCATACTCTGTGTCTTTAAGTATTTGTTACAACATGAATATGAAGTGAATATTATCTTATAATAGCCTACAGTCAAATGGAAAACACTATAATGTTACATTAGTTAACTATATTGATCAAAATGAATATCAATAAATAATCAGACCATGTATTTTTTAGTAATTCAGGTATTGCTATAATTTTTTTTTACATAAATATAAATCCAATCAAATTCATGCGAATTTTTTTTTTTAATCCATGCGAAAATAGCTACATCAAACAAAAGAAAATTACGCAAAAAAAGTTGGCGCTACTCTAATAAGATTTGCTCTGTCTAAACCATATATGGTTCGCCTTCACTTCCGGCCTGAGTCTGGCTTGTGTGTCATGTGGCGCTGCGGGGATGCAACTGGATTGTCCTGCACACCTGCTATTAGTCATTCAGGTGTGAGGACTTTTTTTTATCTGCTATGGCAAAATATAATATAATATTATTCAAAAAGTTTACTTCGGTTATGAAAGGAAAATTACCTGATTCCCGGGCTGAGGCCAACTTTGATGCCAGATTAAACATCATCTCACAAACTTTGACACTTCATGATAAAAAAAGTCGAAAAGGCATTGATTAAAATATGATAAAACTTTTAATATAAAATATTTGTAAATCTCAGTTAGGATTTAACTTGCAAGACATCTGCCCAAAAATACCTGTCAATATCTGAGAAACCAGGAATGTAGGCCTCCAACATTTCAACAAACACCTCGACATCAAAGTTTTCCTCCTCACTTTCTTGAGATCCCAAATCTTCTAGCACCCCAGTGATATAGGACAAAAGCACGTCATCTAGCGTACTGATCAAAATAAAAATACGTTATTTACAGATTTGCACGATTGAAGGGGGAAAAATGTAATCTAATGTATGAACTGACAGACACGCCCTCACCTCAGATCCGCGTGAGGAATATATGACAAAATGAAGTCGTACAGCGCGTCGTGGATTATTTTTTGGAGATCCATCCTATCTGCAATTGGATAAAACAAAGAAGACAACAGAAGCAATAGCAACTTGTCAGAGAAGCACATCATGAGAAGTTATATAAGGCAAGTATGTCGCAGAAAACAAACACGACATTACTGTGGCAGCGTGTTGGAGATTGTGCTCCATTTGTGAATAGACAACAACAAAAACTGATATCAAAATGAAGGTTAAGAGTCTGCATAAAACGTCAGTTTCGAATACAGCAAAAGTCGCAACAAACTATTTTCTTATGCAAAGCATAAATAGTCGATTGTTTACGGGATTCGACTTAGATAAAGATTCAGTGCAGTTTTCATGCACTTTTCTAAATTATTAAGTTAACAGTTACATGTGTTGGAAAACATGTTTGCATTTGCAAGCGATTTCAATTAACTGTTTTGGCAGCCGGCGTTAATTACACAATTGAAGAATCAATCTCATGGTTTATATTTTAGGAATAAGGCAAACCAATAATACATCCATTAGCTGTCAAATAGACACATTTGATACCGATATTATGATTTGTTTATCTGTGCTCAGGGGTAGCCGATGGCTAACTAGCATTGTCCCATAACATGCGCAAAGGCCTTTAGATGTCAGTCTCACCTTTGGATCAAATCGCACAGCTGAAAGAACAAAAAGAAAACAATATTTTCGTAAAAATTGATTACTTCTGTTGGCAAATAGGCAATAAATCGTAAAATGTTTAGCTAATTCGTTAGCCCTGCGCGCGGTCGCTCAGGTTCAAAACCTAAAACGTCACGTCCGCTTTAATGTAAACACACCCTCGTGTCACTGTTTTGATTGCATTTAAAGACTTGCGCAAACGCATTTTATTCTCTTTATACAATATTCTGCTCTTATTTAGCATTGTATAGAGTAGTTCCATAATAGACTTTTACGCTTGGAGTTCAAATCTTGACTCTACCTGCTGATGCATTACTTGGATGTGTTTCGCATTGTTTTGTTTTTCTATTATTGAATGTGCTTGATGTTTGCTTGCTATACGTTTTAATTGGGATATAATTTGATAGAACATTGTTTAATGTCATCCTCTCATTCACAAACAAAGGCCAAAGTCACCATAAGCAAAATTGTTCTCCTTTAAAAAAAATAAAAAATAATAATAAAAAAATCATTTTAGGTTTAACGATACAGTTTTTTTTTACATCTGTTTCAATAATAAATAAAAACTCGACTATAGCAATACAAATCAATGTAAATAAATGTACAATATTTAAATACATTTTTATTAGTGTTATCATATTAGTGTTATTCATATTTCATTTATTTTTTACATCTGTTTTTTTGTTGTTGAAAGAAACACAAATAACTACAACTACTATAATAAAAATAACAAAAAATATCATTGATAATGTATGGCTGTTATGTGAATTGAATAATTTATGCAAATAATACATTAAATTAGTTAATTTACCTATGAAATGCAGTTGTTTTCTGTTTAATGCTCATTGGTGAAATGGCAATAAATGGTTGGGTGCTGTTTTTAATGATCTAGCAAAGAATGTAACTTAGGGAGAACCAATATTGATTCATTAGAAAAGTATGAATATCAAAAAATGTCATTTATCGTCTGTCTCTAATAGCAAGCAGTGTCTGGTGTTTTTCGGATCTTTTCTAATGCCCTTACATACGTCAGGTCAGCATCTGTTAGCGCATATAAGGGCTAAAGAGAGCTCCAGCGGTTTCTGGTGGTTCAGTGTTATTACACTAGTGTATGCTGTCACGCCTCTTGATTACAAATTGGTTTCATAGATGTTTAGCGCTGCATAATTAATGCTTCATCACGCGTGTGTGTGTTTTATCCAGCTGCACTGTTTCATTATTATTATGGGAAATACAGTACATGAGGCTGATAATGAGTCTAGGAGAGGACGTCTCATCTTGGCTGGACTCTATTTAACCCTCTTGGGTCAGTTGCATGTAGAATTGTCTTACAAACTGAATAAATGCATAAATGAAACCCATCCCTATTCCTTATATATGTATATACTAGGCATAGTACTTTGTATTAAGAATATAGCAGTGTGTTCATTTAAGCTTAATACTTCACTTGTTAATGATGTTGACTACAAAAACACAGCCTACTTGTATAGATAGTATAGGTGCTATAGAACAAGAGAATATGCATTCGTAATTTTAATTGCATTTGACTTATTCATATGAAAATAAAATCTTATGTAATGGGGTAAGATAATGATGTTAGTTATTGTAATTAAATCTATCTATCTATCTATCTATCTATCTATCTATCTATCTATCTATCTATCTATCTATCTATCTATCTATCTATCTATCTATCTATCTATCTATCAGTACGTTTGTGTTTTTTTACTGGGTATGGGAAGCCAAGTGGAATAAGTTGTCATCGGGGCATTTCATGAAACCGTAAATAGAACATCTGCAAATATAAAACTATTGTTTTGCTTACAGACATTGTAGTAATGAATAGTTGAAATAAAAACAAATGTGATGACTTGAATTTTAAATTCCTGGTCTGACCTGTATGACAATTTGTCATTAAGAACAGTTAACTTTTCAGTTAAATTCGACTTAGTTTTATTGTGGTCTGTTGTTACCCAACAGCTATAGATGATGCTTGAATTTAAGTTTGGAGGATAAATTGTGATATATATTTGGAGATCATGTTTGGTGAGATTCACGGTGTGAACACTAGGTGGCTGCATTGAGTCATGTTACATTTTCACATCTGACTTGAACAAAAACATTGCAGCAGTTGTAAAAAGAAAAAGAAACGTATATTTATGGGGTTTATAGGAAATCGTTAATTTCTAGTTTCTGGGTGTTCATTTTTAGTTTAATAGTTTGCTGTTTGAGGATTATAGCAAACATTTAGGAAGTTAAAAAATTTAATATAATATTAGGCTACTTAGCCTATCTATTTTCTTTAATACCAAAATGGAGTTTGAGCTATGAATATAATTTATTTTGTATAGTATAATTTATTTATTTTCTTTTACCGGTAATATGAAAATGCTGTTTGAGCTATGGATATACACAAAGTTATTTGATTTTCTAAAACGGCAAGACAAAACAGTATGTGTTAGTTTTTTATTACACTGGTCCTGGAGGCACTGTTGAAGTTTGCTCAGTCTTGCTCTGCATTCTCTTATTTGCCATGACACAAGAGAACTATTTTCCAGTTGAAGGCACGATGTGTCCCATCTGCCAGTGTGCCAGAACCCTTGAGCTGAAGGTGGGCCACTGAGGCCCTGTACTGAACCTGCTGGGACCACTGTGTCATGAAGCACATCCCGTAACAGAGCTTTAACATACTGTATGAGAAACAATGCACTTACATATGTTCAAATGTTATTAACAGCCCTGATGTTTGTTTTACACACCCGGTTGTTGCTCTGTGCGCTCAGAAACCAAATGAGAAATCAAGAGCTTACAGACGTATCGTGAAAACCTGGATACATTATTTTTTAGAAGGAATCTTAAATTAAACAAGATTCATTTGGTAGTTAGTATAGATAAGTTTCCTATGAAATATATTATTGTCAATACATTTTTTATTTACTGTAGATAAATAGATGTCATTACTGATAGATAGATGTCATTGTTGTAGATAAAAAAAATGTAACTTTTTCCATGCATTCCAGCTAACCCTTTAAATTACAATTTGATGACACATATATTATGGTGTTGCTTATCTTAACTTCTAACTTTCAAATGTAGCTACTTATTTATTTAATATTTTATAATGGTATTATTATTTTATTTATCTGTTATAAATTAATAACTACATCTAAAACATTTTGCATTTAAAACATTAAAAGTAATTAAAGGGGTTTTCACTCATAGTTAGTGGTATGCTCAAGCATGTCATCCAGCAATGGAAGGCCAGGTTCCACAATATGCATATTGTGTCAAAAAAAGAAAGATTTCCATTTGATCAGACACAATAGAGGAAGACTTGATCTCCGTTTTGCAATTTCCTCTCCTTCGTTAGAGGAGCCAAACACGGTGCGAATAAATTTACTGCCAAATTAATTACCTTTTCCCCAACTTTAGACAATAATACCAGAAGCTGTCTGTCGGAACACATCTCTAATTATTTTATTAATGTTTGATTCACAGTTCAGGTACAGCGATTTCACATTTTTTATTAACTTTATTATACTTTGAAGTGAATGTGTATTATTATATATTAAATGATCTTGAATTGAATTACCCAAGTGCTAAAATCAAATCAACAGATTTTTGTTTTTCGTCTCACAGATATTGTTAAAAATTGAACAAATCTATTGTGTAATTGAAGCCACCAAGTTTTATTAATGAGATTTTTCAAGCTTTCGCAATTTGCCTCCTAAGCCTCAAATGGTGAAATAAATGAATAGAATTGAATCGCACAGGCACACTGCATGAAATTGTGCTTTAAAGTTCATCATCATCACTTATATGAGTGGGGAAGAATTTAGATTCAGTTTTGAAAAAATATATATATTTAAGAAGAATATGTAGTTTAATGTATTTTTCATTTAAACAGTCTTTCACGTAACTTTGCTGTATTCTGAGACAATATACCATTTAGACTAAATGCCACACTACAATTTTATGCTTATGTAATAATAATAAATTATTATTATGCATTTTTTCACTTGTTTGTTGCCAGGTGGTGATCTCTGACTCTTATCTGTTCTGAAAGACTAGTAGCAGGAAACTCAATGTCAAACAGTAGCATGTATTCTGCAGGCATGGCAAACATTATTTAGACCCGCTTCTGTGGCCAGGGTATCAGGCTTGGGGGTCTGGAGCTGTATCAAGCCATCAGAGCTGGCTTATCCGGACTCCTGCAAGGCAATGCTTGCCTTCCCGTCTGGCTCCTGCTTAGATCCTGTCTCAAGGAAATAGGCACCAGACTGGCCAATGCTCTATAAGACCCACTGCGAACAAGAGGCATAATGCGGTTTTGTGCAGTGGACGCCGTCCTACTCTAATGTAGATGAGTTTTAATGCTTGAATAGACCACTGAACTTACGGTAAATATACCACAAACGAGCACGTCAGAATTAGTTGATTCTAAAATGATATTTAGCATCCATGTAGCATGTGTAAAACAGCATATTTTCTGTTTTTAATGTTTGATGCTGTATTTCATGTGAAATGATCATATTAATGGCAGTTTTGTGGCTAACACGGTTAAACCACTATGAGAGGTTTAGTTATATGATATAAATCATTTGAAAGGTCAGCTTGTCGTGCTATAAACTCGTCTTTCTTTCTTCTGAAAATCTCCACACGAATAGAGCATACAGTATATGTGACCCTGGACCACAAAACCAGTCACATGGGTCAATGTTTTTGAAATTGAGATGTATACACCACGAATAAGCTGAATAAATAAGGTTTCCATTGATGTATGGTTTGGATAGGACAATATTTGGCCGAGGTACAACTATTTGAAAATATGGAATCTGAGGGTGCAAAAAAATTTGAAACATTGAGAAAATCGCCTTTAAAGATCTCTATGTTCGCGACTGTGCAGCATTCACTCACAAAAATAAATGTTTTATATATTTACGGTAAGAAATTTACAAAATATCTTCATGGAACATGTTCTAATGATTTTTGGCATAAAAGAAAAATCTATAATTTTGACCCATACAATGTATTGCCACAAATATACCCGTGCGACTTATGACTGGTTTTGTGATCCAGGGTCACATATATGCATGCTATACCATCTATATATGACAGATCTTATGGCTTATG